TTTTTTTTTGCATATGTAACAGCGATTAGCGCGAAGTGCTTAACCCGGCTCGGCAATAGAATCGCACGTCCACCAAAATTTTCTCTTCGTCGTAGTGATCCGTGTTCATTATTCTGATGAGCTGTTTTCCAGATGACACCCTCTGAATCGAGGCACTCTCTGTCGTCGATTAAATCGATACCTGTGGTAATTGGAGGTAAAGTTTAGTATGATATTGTATACTTCACCGATTTTATCGTTTACAGTAGAATCGTCGTTACATTCACTGCCCCTTATATTCGGATTTTTATTGATTTGAAACGAAAAGTTTGACATCAGAGCTCAACGACATGGAAGTCACGCGTTAATTCAATTTTTGCCCTTTGAATTTATGCAGCTATTCGACTCAGCATCTGTCATCACAGCTGTTTCCTCTTGTCTTATCTTTCAAATAAGTGGTCACATGGAAGGGAGTGTTTTGCTTTGCTTTTTGATACCTTAAGAACAATAAGGATTGTACTTTGTAATCATAGAAGTGAATAATCCATCATTATCAAGTTGTTATTTATATACCCTCGAAATGGCGCTGTTCACCTCACTAAGGGCAAATTTTACAGTGAATCAATCCAGAGAAAGAATCGGGATGCTAAGGGAATCGGCCAACTGACTTATTCAGGGTTGTGTCTGATATGATTTTTCATAATTTTTATTTGAATTACAATAATCGTATCAGTTATTAAGTGATCAGAATTTACAGTAATCAGCGATAATAGAAATTTCCACTCTTTGCAGAATTATATTTTGGCATAAAAATGATAAACCATCGTGAAAATTATGATTGCGCCTGATGCGTTTAAAGGAAAAAATAACCGCTGCTCCACTAACTTGTTATTAAAACTTTCGAAGAGCGTTCCAAAAGTTCTGCGTCAACGGGTTAGTATTCTTTTTATCTTGTAAAAAGAATACTAACCCGTTGACGCAGAACTCTGATGAGCAGAAGACCATTGGCTAGTGATCAACATAGATGCGCCCGCCGGAGCCTCTGGTTATTTCCAACTTGTACAAAATGCTTTCGAGAAAGTATGACCGTAGCCCTAAAAAATCTGACTTGATTATTTCATTAACTGCTAATACTTTGCCGCAGTACGTGTTACGAAAGTCTCGCAATGTTGGCGAGTTGTAAATGTAATTCCGGACAGGACCCTGTACTTTTCCCTTTCGGGCGCCGTGCTCTGTATACCTTGCACTACTTAGAAGCTTATTTTGTGTATCACCCAATGTTTCAGGTGCTGGAAGTAGTTGTGCAAATAGTGAAGCGACGCGTATCGAATGTGGTTCATGGGCAAGTGAAGTGTCGATGGCAATGGGTGATGCAGTGAATGCAAGCGGTAGCGATATCAGTGGTCAGATTGCTGATGCAATGCGCGATCTTGAACTGGACGACCAGGTAAGTGTGTGTTCCATGAGTACTGTTCACGATGAAGCCGTCATTTTTCGGTGTCAAACGGCTCTCTGTTTTCCGAAAATGAGAGGATAACCTTGGAACACTGGGAGACTTTAATAGTCCTCCACTAAAAAAGTCTGCGCTATTTTTCATCGCTGTTGGCCGTTGAATCTATTGTCCTAGCACGATGCGTCAAATGCAGGATTTTGCCACGTAGAAGACAATTAACTTAATTGGATGACTGGTGCTATGGCGAATTTGAGCGCTCTGATGAGACAGAAATTTTCAGTCTTTCTTTGTCATTTCGACATAACTACTTGATTGTATAGGCGCGTTTCGCGCTGGGAAATCATCCTAGGCGATCAATGCTACGTACTGTCGAATTTTTCGTTCTGTTTCTGGAATACTGGCTGGAAAAAGTCAGAACTTTGAAATTCCGTCACCGCGTGACCCTAAAGAGACGACTCTTATGGGAATGCGGATCAGAGTGCAAAACGCACGTTCTGTTCTTCGGCAGGTGTGCTATATCACATGAATTGTGAGGATTAACGAAGGACGGGCTTAATATATGCCGCATGCAAAGCTCTCGGTAAGGGGTGGAAGCAACGAGAGATATGTGAATGGTGAAATAATCCATTAGCGAGCAATCAATGATTTTTTGCTATTGGCAGTAGTGAGTCAGCAGCTGTAGTCATCATAAATTGAATCCCCAAGTGGGTCCAGATCGTCTTGCATGAGTCGGCGAGCGATGGGTTGCTTTTCTGGTCTCATTTGAGCTTAATGTCATTCAATCGATCCCATAGAGGTGGAGGTTGGTCTGGGTGAAAGCTGATTTGGCGTCGGATTCTTTGTTCATGCTTGTTTAGCGGTGAAACCCTCAACCGTGAATAATCTACCATTCTGTTGAAAGAAAAACTGTTCTCCACGGTCTCTTTGCAGCCGCCAGCTTCTGAAGTATTCTTCGACACCTCACCTGGTATCGGGAGGAAAGCATCGAAAACGAAACCCGTTATGGATGATGAAGATCTAGATTTTGACGATTTCAGATAAAAAGATCTGAATTTTGTTTGTACATTTTACTGGTCGGCCATTCTTTTTCAACTTCTCTTCCATCGGAACATCTCCAACGGCCGACAGTCTGAGCAGCAGTATTTCCACCAAATTTCCATGCCATTTGCTTTTTTGTTTAGAAAAACTGTCAACTGGTAGCCCAATTGAACATTTCGTCCTAAGCTCGATTAACTATTGTGGTGCACCTGTCTGATGCTAGCTTAGATTTTCCTAACAATGATGTGTCTTCGTATACTTGTAAATAAGCAGCACTTAGCACTATTTATCCTACGGCATTTTTCCTTCAAAACAAAAAAACTTTTTGGTGTTTTCCTGTTTTTTCCATTTTCAGTATCATGTTCTTCAGTAACATGTTTATAGGTTAATCTTCCTTTCTTTGACTTTATCTAGCACTTCTATTTGGTATTGTTTCATACTCCATAATGATGTGTACATATTTGTATAGCAACAGCGTTTTAGAACTTGTATTAGGCACTGCTTGCTTCGCTCGATTCTCATTTTAGCGACTCCTCAGTGCTGTCCTGTGTTCTAGGTCGCATAGGCTCCGTTCATACTTAACGACGGTAATCCCGCGTTGCGACTGTGATCTCGATTAAGTAAAAACGCGAGATCAATCACGACTTGTCGACGCATTCAAAGCACAGCAATGTGCGTGAGAAACTCAGCGTTGTTGGAAACACGTTGACAGTGCTGGACGCGTGGCGGATGCTGTCGGCAGACCGCTGAGCGTCCAACCTTGACAGCAGGTGACGCCCGGCGCTGTCAGTGTGTGTCTAACAATACTGCATTTTCAAAGCACTTCGCCATCCTTCATTTCCAGGGCTATCACCGTCGTTGAGTGGGAATGTAGCCGTACAGCTGTTTTTCAATTCCTCTAATTTTGAAAGGTATACCTAACATTTCCTTACACTACATTTCAATTTCCCCTCCGGACCAGCTTTTTACTATTGAACACGGTAGCCTAGGAAGCGGCAGTTAGTGTAAGTGTGTATAACTTGTGATAATATTCAGGTTTTTCGTCTAGCTCGATTACTATTCATATGTGCAGTTTTGTATGTTTAAAAAGCAGCCTAGTGAACGCTGCTTGAAGCGTTTAATTTCTTATCTGAATCGATCGGCTTGTGTGTACGTGTGTGGATGCATGTGTGTATCATCTGTATGTGTGTGTGTATTTGTGCGTATGTGTTGATGTCGGTTTTCCTAAAAAATCCATCTTATGATCTAGCGGTTCAGCCATATAATGTTTATGTCGTCAACATAACAATTGCCTTATACCTATTGATTAAACGTTATCCAAGGCATCAATTAGGGTTATCGATTTTCCTTCTTTTTTTTAAATCCAAAATGGACGGTGCGTTAATTCAGCTTTTCTCCTTATATGTACGGTGTTATTTTCTCTTTTTTGTCGTCGTTTCCGCGATTATGTACAGTTTGACGGTTTTATGACGTATCTTTTTACGTCTCGAAGTTGTAATGAGGATTTTCATTAATGTAATGAAGTTTTACAAATCCTGTGGTGTATTTGTACAACAGAAGCACTTGTGAGAAATGCTAGATAGGCAGCCCTGTGATCAAGCAAGGTTTCGGAGAGGGTTCAGTACAATCGATCACATCCGTGCTGTTTCAAGACTCGTTAAAGTATCGCGAGTTCAGAGTGTTTATGCCTGGCGTTTGTCGTTTTGAAGGCCTTTGATACTGCCGAGACAGAAGCGATAATTGAAGCTCTGGCTGCTTTCATAGTAAACCGGCCGGCGCGCTCGCTCGCTCGCTCGCGGGCCGGCCGGCGGTCTATGAAAGCAGCCTCTGGGCAACCAGATTACTCCTACCGGATGCATAAGGATGCTTTGTGAGCTCTACGACAATTTCACATCCAGGATTTTAACTTTTGTGTGTAACTAATTAGAATGGCCCGTATATACATTTCGGCTAGAGCTCTTTCTGTTGACTCGCCTATTCTTTGACTCATTTATTGTTAAAAAAAACATGACTCTAGATGAAACCGAAACCAGTGATTTCTAAATGCAGTTAATACATGCTGATCCCATCAGGACAGTTGAACTTCTCGAAGTGCTCCGGAATTTCCTTCATCTTGTAGAATCCTTCTCTATCAGCAGACGCACCAGATTCTCATCAAGATTTTTTCGGAGTATTCTTAAGTGTTGCTTCAGTTAATATCTAATCTTTTCTCGTCCTTGTCCACCCAGTATGATTGTTCTTCTCTCTTCGGTGAACGCAATGGGATTGCTGAGGAGTTCTGAAAGGGTAGCAGAAATGGACGACATGCTGATAACGTCCATTCTTACTAGCAACTGATGTCCAAAGGCAAAATGAAAGATCGCTGAAACATGGCTGATCCATGCGTACCCTTCAAATTGAGCTCCTTTAGGGAGCTTATTATTGCGATTTCGGTATTGATAATGTTGAACAGCTGGAAGGAAAAAAGATACACGGCTGTAAAGTAAACGCAAGCCATTCAGTGCCATTCGCTATTCTTTTGATTGTGCCGACTACTACAACGACGAAGAATAGCTAAACAATTTTGCTTTCTTTCTCAACTCTCACGTAGAAACTTTCGGATGGACACGTGACTACGCTTTTCATAAGGTTTAAATTATTCAGCAGAAGGATTAGGTGAAGGGGGTCAAGACATGCCCATGAGTGACCCTTCACTTGTGAGGAGGTGTTAGTACTTCAGTAATTCATGACGAATATTGTTCCCTACTGTTTCACCATACAGGTTTTTGTGGTGGAACTGCTTTGGCTGGGTCGACTTTTTGAAAAAAAGTTGCCCTCGTGAACCTGAATGCGTTTTGGAGGTTCGATCTCTCTCTTCCCTGGTCCAGCTCCCAAAGGCACCTGACCGGTTGCAGTAGTTCCCAGAAGATCCCGGCAAAGTGACCAACCTTCTGCGATTCCACCCGAATAATTGACCAACAGGGGACAAGTTTGACGCCAGGGATAGTAGTAACCGCAAATACATTTCCGACTCGTGGCAGTTCATCAACTTTTAGACAGGCTTAAACCGTCTGAAGCGCCTTTTAATAGGTCTTTGTTCTGCTGATGCTTTCCCAACGCTCTGATTCAAGCAAATGTAGTAAGCAGATTAAAAGAAAACCCAAAATGAAAGTCTGCTGAGTCCCTTCATTCTTCATTAATTTTGAGAAGATTTAGACCATGTTTCAACTGCTTCGTTTGGTAAGTGCTGCCCATACCACTACACAAATACTAAATGAATTAGCTCAAACTGCTCCCTTCAGATCGTTGAGGGCAGTATAGAACAAAAAAGTGAGTTTTCCACAAAAGTTCATTAGCTAATCATTCATTATCAGAAACTACAATGTTCCAAAGTAAAAGGAAGACAAATATTTAATTGCTCAAATACGGCTGATGTATGCTGACCTCATCAAGAGGCTGTTCGCAGTCATGTTAATCGCAGAGTTTGCATGATTTCGGGCAGTGATACTTCTTGATACGTTCCGGAATCTTCTTCATGTTGCAGAATCCTCCACGAACAAGTGACCCACAACTGAAATTCTTATATTTTTTCGGAGAAAACCTTGAGCGTCACTACAAGTAGCATCTTACTCATCCTTGTCCACACAACTAGAACTATCATCGGTGCCCTTAGTGGCATTTGACGGTTCGGTTTTAGTGGAAGGCGCACCAGGAAAGACAGGTCTCTGGCCTTTCGAGGGTAGATCGTCAACGTCAACCTCTGAGAGGTCCAAGGACTTCCCACTAACGGTGACAGCAAGAAGGAAGATCAGAAGAAATTTCATCTGAAAATTAAAATGATAGAAAGGAATTCGGAGATGCTGAAAGCACTGCGAAGGCGAGTTCAATAACTTCAAAAATTAAAGCCAGTAGATAAAACGCTCCCTGATGATCGTGTGACTTATGGATGTGCCGTGCACTCCACTTTCGCTACCGACTGACGAGGAAAAGCCAAACTTTCAATTACTATTTTACCTCTTGGAAAGTATGGATGCCAATGAATCGATCCTAGAGGGGTACCATTTACCGAAAACCCGCTCCCGGCAAGTTGATGCGTATCGCCTCAATTTTGTAGCAAACCCAGAACCCGCTGTGACCAGCAGATGAAGAAGTGCTTTTATCCTCCCATACGAGTCTGGTACCAATTAATCGATCCGGGAGCGATGGAAGGCTGCTGGCCTGGGTGGCTCTAAGATTGGATCCCTGGATTATTCATGTGATAGCGCACTACTTCCCACACTAAACCACCTCAGCCTAGGAATCCTGAGTGACTCGACTGAAGATGGAAGTTATCGGAATTAGGTGCTCCAAAGCAATACAAAAGAAAGTCATAACTGAAATACGACTGAGGCATGGTGGTCCTTTCGTAGAGAGCACTTTATACAGAAGTTATCGTAGTGGTTCCATCATTGTGTCTAATGTTGAACAGCTGAGAAAAAACAATACAAGGCTGTACATTGCAGAAAAGTAAACGTAAGCTGTTCTGTGCCATTCGCTACCCCTTTAGCAGTGCTCTCATGAAGACGTACTACAGATGTACAAAGAATAGCTAGCTTTTGTATTTGTACATAAACTTCGGAAAAAGTTGCGACCGACCTCAAACAATATTCAATGGAAGGGCTGGAAGGAAGGACCAGGTCACCCTCTCACCCTCACCTTTTACTTATATTTATTCAAGAGTGCTAAAGTTCAGTGATGTATTAGCTTGGCAGTTTCCGAGTTCGGTCTTCCTGAAAACTGCTAATGGGGTGTGGTGCAGTAGGAACGAAATGGTCGCATCGCGGTGTGAGGGACGTCGCGCGCGAAGGAATGTAGCAGGATGCAGCAGTAGGTAAGAAATACAAGAACAAAAGTACTAATAGTAGAATTAGGCATAAAATAATGATCGCATATCGATTGAGCTGTATGAATACGCTAGTGCTGTAATAACGGCGAATGAGTGGTCCGCGACAGCCGCGTGCGGCGAATCGATTACCCGAAATCGTTCCTAATGCCCGTCTCCTCTGCTAATGTACATAGAATAGAGGTTTATGCTGCTGTACCGTACAAGATTAGTATATATGTATGTGTGGTTCTACTCGAACAAGTGAACAACAAGTGGCAAAAGGGACGACTTGCCATGGAAGAGCATTTATGTTTGTTCCGCTTAGGATTTCGGTTACGTCATTGTGTAACGCTTCCAGAATGCTCCCAGGATCGACGTCATTCTGAGGGAGAGGATTTTGCTATTAAAACCTCACATAAAAATGGGGGAATAGTGAAGCTGCAAGGTTGGTGTACTGCTCGGTACTCCATGGTACTCGCACTTAGCTCCGATGTTGGCTGACCGGTTCCGGAGGATGATTACGACAGTTGCCGTGGAACAATTGCTGCGTACCGTCAAGAATTTGGGTGGAAGGCACTCCACTCAGAGCACAGCACCGGGAAAGCTCGGCACTAGCTCGAGCCTCACTCGAGGCTGTTCCCTTTGCCCATAACTTGTCCAAACGGCCTTTTCTAGCTTCGTTCTTATAATTGGAATAGTCAAGATTTTTCGGATTCCAAAAAAGAACACTGTCACGTAACATACTAATTGTACTTGCAACGTCAGGATGATGCAATTGTTCCCATTGATGTCATACGAGGATGGCTGGATAAGCAATCGACGCGAAGCTTTTTTTGCATGTTGTGTTTGCTGTAATTTTATGTCAGTTTGACTATCTGGCATCTGATGTCCTCCAACACCAACGCACAGTAATAAATCACTTCCGTCCGCTTTCACGTCCTCACTGAATCTCTTTGTTATCCGAAAAAATTGGTTCTCTTCATTGATATTCTTTGACATAGGCTGAATCAATTGTAGTGAATCCTATATAAAAGCTCTGCAAAAAGATATCTTCTATAGAGTGGGTGACCAAGTGGGGAAGAAGGCTGTTTCATCTCAGGTTAAGTTGTGATCGGCAACGTCTTCAGGTCCTCAAATGGCCCGTCCATTCCCATCCCGTCTCCATATCGAACTTAGTGGTGACGGCCTGTCGTCATAGCAGTGGTGGATGAACCTATGAGTGAACCCCATTAGGGAGAAGAAGACCGATTTTACGGCAGCAAATAAGATGTGGGTTTTTGTTCCCGAACGGTTTGCAGCTTCAGTCGCCTACAGTTACGACATTTGGGCTCCGTAGTTGAAGATTAGGGTAATCTACCGCTTGGGGTCCGGGAACTTCTCCCTTGTCACGGCGTCGCACGCGCCGCACCCGCCGCGTATCGCAGGATCGCGATGGAAGATTGGAGCGCGCAATTTGTGAGGTAGGGAGTCCTTTAATCATTTGAATTCGCTGGTCGCTCCCTTCAATTTAAATGCGGTATTGATCGTCGTTTATATAAGGGGAGTCATTTTAATTATTCAAGTCTAATAAACATGAAAACCAAAAAGAAACAGAAGAAAAAACGATCAAATCCAATGAAAAAGCAAGGCAATCAATGAAAAATATCGCGTCCTATCGATTTTCGGGAGGCGGGGTGAGTACGGTAATTGCAGTGACATTTGCCGCATGCCGCAAGGGAGAATGCCGCGATAGGGGAGAAGTTCCGTTACCCCTACCGCTTGCAGAGGGAATCTACGTAGAAGAGGTGGCACATTCATTATAACGAAAGGATTTAAACGGGCGCCCAATATTTTTGTTACCAACTGCGTCAACGAGAGTCTCAGTTTGAAGTTTTGCGGCAACTTCTGCCTTTTTCTATTATCTACCGCATAACGTATCCGATGGCCGTATCCGATGGCCCACTTTTCTTCACCCATACATGAGTTGTTGCTTCCATTTCGCTCACACGCATTCCCTAAATTAAAAGAGAAAACTGTGGACCTTGAAATTTTGACTCGAAAATGCCTGAGAGGAAGCTGAAATCTGTGTGTAGCTTTCCCGATGTCGCGAGAAGAAAATTGGCTATCAGAGAATTTCGTAGTTTACATAGCAAAGTGCAACAGTGTTCCCATGTTTATGCAGCTTCTCACTACAGTGGTTACAATACGGAAATATCCAAGGGATTGTGGATTCTACGCATAAAAGACCTATCGTTGGAAGAAAATTGCCTTGTATGGTTGTCGCTTAGGTTTTATTTTCTTCTCACAGACGACTTCAGTGGTTCAGCCTTTTTCCACGTACAATACTTGATCCTTTTGTGCCCTGACACTATTGAACCATCCTACTTTACTAGCAAAATCGCTCAGAGGTAGTCTGTTGTCGAAGCTCCTACGTTGCCATAAGAAATAGTGGCTGATCATACAAACCGATGAATGTTAGGAATAAGATGTGTCGCAAAAATTCCGCATATTGCGGACTGCATGGGATCTTGTAGGCGACATGTCTGGGGAAAAAATGCTCCATTCTTGAAGAAACTGGGTAATCACAGACTTAGCTATGCTCTCTTTGTGCTGACGTTTGTGTTTTCTTTCATTCTCGTGCCACTGACAGTGACGGGATTTGAACCCTGGTTGATTCCAAGCGGTAATTCAGTGGCTCAAAAGCATGTTAACTATATTTCAACAAATCCTGTTCGCCATGGCGTGTCTTCATTTCAAAAAAGAACCGATACGTTCAATATTCTATTTTTTGTGGCATTTAGAAATTGCTTGCTTAACTCCTCGGTCGTTCAACTAATCCATCCCTCAAGAGCTGTTCGCTTCCCTTGTGAAAAAAGTTTCCGTTGAGACGGGTCCCAAATTTCCGATGAGACAAGGTTCCACTGAACCCTTGCCAGAAAGAAATTGGTTTTTGTTTAGGCGACTTCTGGTGTTTGAGATTTCGAAAGGGTATAAAATTCCTTTGGCAGTCAGGAACGCCCCCTTTGGGCGGTACTCAGCGAGTGCAAGGGAAGTCTGAAGGGGAGATGGTGTCTGGATAGAGCGCGCAACGTAAAGGGTTGATTACAGATCATTATCGAAGATGGACGCTCTCGGCCGCTGTTAATATGTTTTTTCAATAATAGATAGGAACTTACTCCATCAAGTGTATTGGGCTAAATACAAAAATAAGAAACATAAGCGATGTTAAAAATCAATAGGTTCACTGGAGTTCCTTATTGTTCCTGTTGTCATCAGGATTGACATCATTTGTTTGATTGATTTCATCTTGAGCGGACAATATTGCCGTCTACAGCTGAATCACGCTGATACATCACCTGTTGCTGAAGAGATCAGGTCAATTTAAAACTTTCTAATTTGAAGGATTGCACCTAAGGGAACGTGCTCACCTTCCCGTCACTCTACTTTTTCTGGTTGAAGCTGTTACCGTGTTCTGAGTAGAAGGTGAGACATGGTCGCAGAATTGTTCTGCTGCAAAGCATGCTTCCTCTCTCGTGCACCTGTTGGAAACGACAGAAGACTTTCCTGAAGGCGTTGACGCCCACGTAAACCTGGCTACCCGACAACATGGAGGCGCTAGCTAGAACTCGCCGGTGATTCCGACACCGCCCTGGCCATTAATGGGTCTGTATCAAAGTTCTTGTTCGAGGTTCACGACAGGTGATTGAAGACCGTGGAGAACACATCTGCCAAGATGTGTTCATGATGTTATTTGTTTAATACTCAGCCACTGCTCGAAAATCTCGGAACCTGTGGGTACCCCATGGTTAAGCCATGCTTTCAGGCGCGGCTGGCAAGCTTGCCAACCCATGTTGAGTTGAATGCCATAGCAAGAACCTTTCTTCATCTCTTTTGTGTCATGAGCATGGTTGATCGGATAGAAGCTGAACTGCCATTTTTTGAAACCGGTGTTGCATTTGAGCCCCAGCATAGATTGGGGGTTAAGCAGAATTCGAGACAATCCGATCCATTTCTATTGTACTGAGCAAAGTCCAATCCATCCAATCCAAATTTTAATGCCTATTTCCTCATTTCAGGCCTATGACCTGATTTGGGAGGTAAGCATTACCATTTCAAATGAATCTTTCGATGCGTCCTGGTAAAAGACTGAGTGGATGAGCGATATGTTGAAAAGATTATCAAACAATTAAGCAGATTCCCTTTCTAGCCTGTTCGTCACCCGGAAGAAAGCTTGCTCAAGAGAAATGATGACAGGGTATCTGAGAAGGATATCGGCAAACAATGAAGAAAGTGCCATCAAAGTTCGAATTAACAACATCATTATCTATCCAACATACTATTNTATTAAGCATACCAGAAGTATTATGCACTATCACCCATGGAGAACAGAATAAAGAATTCCCCATAGCTACACGTATACTATACAAGCTGTGGGCAGAGTGGTTTAATGGCAAGTGGCGCACTACCTCGTACGTACGATCACGGGTTCGAACCCCGGATCGTTACTCCTTCGCCAAATGAGCCTTCCATCCTTCCAGGGTCGGTTAGTTGGTAGCAGACTCGTTTGGTGGGAGGAATAAAGTACAGGCTTTACATCGGCTCGCTGCCACAATTCATTGTAAGCCCCATGCACATACAATAGCCACTACGAAGTCGAAGGGAAGACGAATGCGCAGGCGCATCCCTTCGACGGGATTGATCCACACCCAAAGGCCTATCCTTTATCCTTTATTCAACTTGTTTCCAAAAGGCTAGAAACGTCGCTCACCGCCTGGCGATTTACTTACTCACTTTTTCTACATTTATATGCTCCATTCGAAAAATGTCAACCGCTGTGAATAGCCTTTTTCATGTTGCAAATATTTAGGATGATGCTTTCGTTAATTCTTCTTCTGGCTGCCACCGTCAGTGGAACGTCTGTGGAACCCTCACCGATTACCAACAGTACTAAGCCGATCACTCAAGAGCCTGTGAGTCCTGTTCCTCATGGGGCGCCGGTTTCCCATAATATCACCACGTCCAACCCCGTAGCCGCTCCAGCTCCGAAATTAGCTGCAGGAAAACCTAAATGTGTGGACAAACCAATGTGAGAATTTATATTAAGATATTCCTTTTTTCGCGAAAAACCAATATTTTCAGCTGTGCTACTATGGCACGGGATGGATTCTGTAATATGAAATTCTCAAAACAGGTCGTGAAAAGTAACTGTCCAGTATTATGCAAACTCTGTGACTCGTGAATGTTGGCAATAAAGGTTCGATGTTGTTGTTGAGACAGATCTGTTTGCCTCTGTTTGTCTGAGCCGCCGTTGATTGTATTGCTCAAAAAGATACCCAAAAGCCTCAAAAGATAAAAAGACCTAAAAAGAAAGTATACAATGCCGATTAAATGAGGTAAAAAGCTTACTCTTCCTATCGACTAAGAACTATCTTTCTCTTTGAAGCTTGAAAGGACGAGAAAGTGGTGGAACATCAGTATGCGCTTCATTTTAGCTGCAAAGAAAATCATTTGAAGACCATCAGCCTAGAACAGTTAAGCTTCGCTAGCAATACAGGATTTTCATTTTAAGCCTACGGGAATTTGAAAGTAAAGGCACTTTGTTGCTGGTAAACGTCAGCGGTCTGGGACTGGAGTGGCTGCCGTCTATCAAAGGTAAGACTGGATTGACACCAGATAAAATAGCTGGTTGGAATATAGCCTGAACTCTTGTCTATATTATGAGCAAATCCGCCTGAAATAGCTTTAGAATCTTGAATAGATTTT